GGGTGGGGTGTTATGGTAAGGCATATGGTGGAGCTCTAACTGACATGTCAGTGTTTTTCTTAAGTTTTATAGTGTGCATGCGTTCCCTGAAGTTAAGGTGTTGCAAACAAAATTAGTGATATATATCGCATGAAACCAATTAAGTCCCGAGACTTGACACAGTAGACCACAAACCAGGGTGCCTTCCCGAGACTTGACACAGTATACCACACACCAGGGTGTCTTACCGAGACTTGACACAGTAGACCACACACCAGGGTGCCTTCCCGAGACTTGACACAGTAGACCACACACCAGAGTGCCTTCCCGAGACTTGACACAGAAGACCACACACCAGGGTGCCTTCCAGAGACTTGACACAGTATACCACACACCAGGGTGCCTTCTCGAGACTTGACACAGTAGACCACACCCCAGGGTGCCTTCCTGAGACTTGACACAGTAGACCACACACCAGGGTGCCTTCCTGAGACTGGACCTATCTCTAAAATGCCCACCGACCTTAAGCTTCCACCCTATAGATTTTCAGATAGATTTTCTCAGAACTGCTTCTTATGTAAGCAGGGTGCCTTCCTGAGGCATGACCTTTCTCTGCAAAGCCCACCAACCTCAAGCTTTCAATCCAACGAAGTTCAGACCCAAAGACTTTATCAGAACGGCTTCTTATATAAGCAGTGTGTTAAAAGACAGTGACAAAACAATACATTTTACAGGAACAAATGATAACCAGTATTTAATCCAATTTTTGAGTGACAATTAATTAATACACCTATAGATCCCTATAATCCTAATTGTCCGACTCATTGAAATGCACTTTCTCAGCAACAAATAATCGCTGCTCGTAACAAATAATATCCTCTCGTACCGGTAGGGTCCCATCCCTGTTTGATTGATACCTACTGATATTTCCGAAGTCCTATTTATTTTGAACAGTGAAATATTTGGATACTTCAGACTATATTTAGTCTAATAGATACCTAATGGACGTTTGTCAACCAACTCATAGAAATAGAATGAACTTGTTTCTGGAAAACTATCTTTCTCATTAATTTTAAGTGTACACTAATCTGTGTTTCCCCCAGAGACTACTGAAACGATCACAGCATTGTGTTCTTGCGATTTATCTAATTGAAGCTGAGCATATGCATGCTGGCTAAAATCAGAATAACACGGAAATTCATTTAGATATATATAAACAGGAAAAATATTTTGAATATTACAGAATGGTAAGAAAATAACGGAGCACGGTATTGCACTGTTCAATATTGAGTCTGGGGTAATCACTGAAACTTTGATTTAAGCAACAATGCTAAACGGTTGCTGGCCCGGGTGCTTATTTTCCAGGAGAAACAATCCAAATGACATCGTTTAAGAAAATTAATGCATTATGACATGGAAGAGAAATTAAAACATTGATCTGTTTTATTTCAGCTTATCATTGAGGTGCGGTATAGGTGAAGCATGTCCACAGTTGTGTTTCTAACCATTTTAAGGATTCTTAGTCGGACAAATAAACTTTATGGTAGAGAAAAATATAAGAAATACTAACATAAAAGAATTTTAATGAGAAAAAAAATCTACACAAAGTATATTGAAAAAAAAGTTCAGGTCCAAAAAATGTTGCAACAATTTTAAATCGAAAAGTTTGATCCGCGATTACGGATAAGTAATTACAGTGTACTATAATATCCAATAAGAATGCATTACTATGAAGCCTGTCGAAAACTTTCACCTCAAGGACCAACCTTTTCATTCAGAATTGACAGGTTTGTCTGCATACCTGGAATGAAGGTTCAATTGCCACTGGGCCCAAATTGAATGTATGAATGATACAAGTATTCATATTACTTAGTTTTTGGTTTAGACAGGTTTTACTTTGTCCGGTATTTCGAGATTTAGACATAAACACAGGTAAAAACACAGGTATCTATACCTGTCGCATATTTTGGCAAAATCATAAATTCGGCATCACCAAATTTACCTTTTATTTTTTCGACTAAGAATCCTTAATAGTGAGATTATGTTTATGTTTAGATAGATTACAAACTAACTACATGTCGACTAACAAATAACAGCTGGCTTAGCGATAACTTCATTGTTACGTAATGGTTTGACAATTCACTTCATGGATAATTAGTGCAGATGCACCTACTGTAAAATGGAGAACAGTGTGTTCATTTGAGCAAAGGAGAAATAAATGGATGTTAAAAATGGATTTATTTATTCATAAACCTCTTTATAATATAACTCATTCACCCCTGATGACACATTTGAACTCTTCCGATTCAAAGGTTGGAATAGTTCATTGTGAAATTTCAGGGGTGAATGTGATAATGAATGTTATTTTTGTTCTATATTATATGGTTAACAGCACAGGGTCTAGATAAATCAAAACAATGGTCATCAAATGTGTATTTAATATACAATTGCTATGACCAATATAATATTTAATATGTCGGACCCCTATGTTGATTCTTGAAGAGTTGATGTCAATGGAAAACCTAATAGTGTACAAATTTATCTTAAATAGCATCCCTGCACGTTTTGGTGTTTTGCACTTTTTAGCTTTTGTTATAAAAGGTTCAAGGATTAAAGAATTGATTAATCGTAAATTTTGTACAATGTTCTCCCATAGAGAAGTTAGTCCCATTTTGTTTGACAGTCCGTCCCAACCCTAATGAGAAGCATGCACTAGTCCAGGTAGACATCCAGGCTTATAGTCTTACTCCCATTTATGTAGTATTACTTTCGGGAAGTGGACTTTCGAGTTCATTTGTTTTGATTTATAAGTTTATAACATCTGTTGAATGTAATCTGATTAATTGATTTTTTTGTCAAATGTACTTTGTATATAAATCAGTTAATCTTCAAATTACATAGAAATCCACTAAAATGGGGACAGTATATAATGTATATATGATATATTTTGTGGTATGTCTCAGACCTAATAAAGTTTAAAATTTTACCTTAAAAGTATACTATATGTGGTACTGTATTACTTACCTGTATGTTTAGTTTTTGTAAAATAACATTTTGTTTACTTTATATGGGTTTCCATTTTAGAACCTAATAAGACGGTGTTCCTGACAATTCAGCAACTTCAGTCTCCACTGTCTGCTAATTCTCTAAATGTCCATTATAAATGTCACCCTGGTGAAATACTAGCCACTCCCTACCGACTCGGCTTGGGAGATTTTCTCTTTAGCTCACTCAGTAGAGCTAGACTAGTGAACCAGAGGTCCCAGTTTCGACTCCTAGTTAAGGCGTTAAAAAAAATGATCTCTGTTGCATTGGCACCCATATAGAGACCTGGGAAATAATTTGGCAAAAATACTCAACAATTCTTTTGACCCTTGGAAAAACCTCCTTTAGGGGAAAATGTCACCCTGGTAAAATTGAAGCCTCTTCCTACTGACTTGTCTAGGGAGTATTTCATTTGAGCTCATTTGGTTAATGTGTAAGAATAGTTAACATGTGGTCTGGGTTAAACTCCTAGTAGAGGAATCGATAAAAAAAAAATGACCTATGTTACATAACAGTTAATGATGAAGATGTCCTTTAGACTTAAGTAACATATTGAATATTGAGCTCTGTTCATGTGATCATATAGTAATAATAGTGGACCAATAAGAGATCAGATGGTAATGTACAGTACCATTTTTGCCCTATAAATTGACCGTTCTGCAATAATATTGACCTTTCATAGTTGTTTTTCGCAAAACCCCTACTATTCTGTCTCCAACTCCCTAATTTAATAGGCAACACCTTTATCTTCTCCACTAGGATTGTAAGTAATCGCTTACTTACACTCGATATTTATACATACAGACTTTATAAACATCAGAAGCATCAGATAAACTCACATGGTAATCATATTATGATGAAAACATAATATCATCATTACAAATGTTCTTAAAATGTAGCTTTCTGATAAAGAGAAAAAACAAGAATTTTTCATTGATCTACCAATAAATATTGTGATAAGGTGATTGATACTTCCTGGATAAAAAACAAGGCCTATTTTATACCAATATTTGTTTTATTGTTTTAAATCACGATAAAAAATCAATCGTTAGGAATATCTATTTAATAGAAAATATAAGAGTTTGGATTGAAGAAAAAGATTTTAGATTGATTTGAATAAAACTACATGTCTTATCACCTGTATATATCATTCTAAACGACACACCCTTTTTTTCATATCCTGATAAGCTTCTTGACTTGTAAAAGCAAATGGAAACATCTAGAAAGTGACAAGGATATTTTGTATTTCTGATTTATGAACATCATTTTGAATTCCCATAAATGAAATCAAATTCATAATTCTAAATTTCCATATTTTCATCAAGTATTTAAGATGAGAAAAATTGGATTTCAAAATTGTTGTTGAGCTAACCAGTCTTTGTAAAGCTGGGCCCTCGGGTTTTATCGACATGTACGAAACTATTTTATCATGAGTGATGGAGCACTTCAAACCAACAGGGTTTTATCTAACACGTATTGAACAAGGTTATCGGTAGTATACCTGTACAAACACACAGGCTTAGCTAGCAGTGTAGGAATATAAGGTGTAGTACGATAACAAAAAAATACCAGAGAAAGATTTCGAGGAGCAGTATGTTCTTTTGTGAAAAAATATTACTCTTCTCCTATGAGTATGGGTGTTTTGATGTGAATGGTTGTGTGTTTTCTGGAATGTTTTACTCATAAATTTTGAATTGTGTAAAATATCAGATAATTTTGAAGATATTCAGAATGATACAATCTTTCCTATTGGAGGTGTAGAGTCAAATCCAAAGCAAATTAAGGATAATGACAATCTATTATATTTATGTTAGGATATTTCAAACTAATATATTTCTTATGGATATCATAATATACGATGCTGGCAGATTTACAAGAGAATATCTACATTCATTTAAGAATTACTTGAAATCCTGCCTCCCTCCCCCCCAAAAAAAAACAATGCCCAAAAAATTAAAATAATGGAAAATTAATACACAAAAGATAATATCTCAACAGGTTAGTTAGTGTTACTTTGGGCAAACATATGTTTAGCTTAGCATGATTATGTGTTATTGTTGTAACAGGAAAGTTCAAATATTTCTTACATATCTGTTCGATAATATAGATACAAAATAAAATACAGGCTGTGGTGAGATGATAGCAGTTCCAAGCATGTGTCAGACGGTCTTCGGTAGCTTATATTATATTCATTGAGCGAAGCTTACTGTGACTGTATCAGTGTGGCTGTATGATTGCATGGCAGAATATTCGAGAAAAGAAATAAATAAGTTCATACTTCTTAGCGGGATTTGCTGCCTTGTATGCAAAATCGGTGATTTTCACTGGCTGTACGATACTAGCATGGCTTGTCAGATCAGTCAAGTCAAGAGATTCGTAAACATGAATTGACCGAAGTCATCTGAAATGTAATCTTATGGTTCCAGTGATAGGAATGGTTCACAGTTCAATGCTGTGTCGATCAAGACCTATGAATATGGTGCGCCATACATTGCTGTTGAACCTCCTGGTTTCTTGTGTTTGTGGCTACTGGCATATTGGTTGAATTTTCTTTTGCCTCAAAGTTCATCTTTGTTAATACACTTTGAACCAGAATGAGTTGCCATAAAAATATTTAAAGATTTTTCGACAACAGACTTTTGAATATTTCTGTCATTTCTTTTTTCTTTAAAGATTCTTTCAGTTTAAAATATTGCTAATTAATTTAAGCTTTTCATCAATTAACTCTTGTCTATGACAGTATGAAATGAATTACTTGAAATTCAAATACAAGTTTATTTTTCTAAACATCTATCACAAACTCCCTAAGATCATTGTATTATTATTTCAGCCGCAGGGATAGCCAATGGGGGTTACAACGCCAGCGTGAACGGTTCTTTTGTAAACCCTGTCATGTTGCCTGCAGAGGAGAAACAGCCACAACATCTCGGCACATTTACCAGTCAACCCTACGGTCAGGATGAAGTGGACATGCGGGATAATGATAATGTTTTCGAGGCTTACGACAAAGATCAGGATGATATTCGTCTGTAAATTTCTGTTCTGAGGAATTGCTCAAGTTGTCGTTCATAAGTCTTTCCATTGGCTACACTGCTGCTCACGAGTAAAGATATGGATGAGTCCATTATGGTCTACAGTGGTGAAAGGGTTCAAATGTCAAGGACACATATTTATTATACCCGAGTGTCTCGCTAACAAATTTATAGTTTGTATTCGTGACATCACAGCCACCATTCATGCAAATCTTTTGTGTATTGCGTTTCCAATGCTAGATGCAAGTTAAACAATTTTACTGAAAATATACTTCCATTAATATATTATTTACACACAGTCTTAAAGAGATTTGCTGCCTTTCAAATTCATATATATGCGATTAGTGTTAGAGTTATCGCCCTGAAAATTTTAGCTGGCTTTATCTTAATAACTTTGGGTATTATCACAGTAGGCATTTTTGTGTACCTTTCAATTAATTTAAGAAGTCTAGAGTACCATTTGTGAATGAAATTTTACAGGGAATCTGATGGGGAACTCTCTTGGAAAGGAGATGCATATGTCACTGTGACAATAAAGCAGCATACCCCCTTAAATGTGTTGTTACTCTTAAGTATAACAGTAAACAGAACAGTACATGCATTGTTTACTACTACAATAGAAAATGAATGGAGAAAATTCAATAATTTCGAATATGAATGTTTGATAGAAATCCTAGTAGTACAGTATTCTACAAACAGTTTATTTTGATGATTTACAAAAAGAGATTTTTGAGAAGGCAAAGTTTATGCTTACTCAGTTACATTTATGATTAAAATAAAAAATCTGTTTTGATTTGAACATTTTTTTTTGCTTATTTTGCAAGAGGTCAGACATTGTTTACAGGTACATCACAAGTTTTTAATACTATTACATTTAAATTTGCATCAGTTGTCTCCCTTCGATTGTATTTTATATTTAATAGTACATGGTCTATTATCTGGGGGAAATGACTGTTTGTGGGGACCAATTACAGCTATATGTGAGGCTATGAGGCACTATTAAAATATTTAATGAATAAGTATATTAACTTTGTGAATTATTTCAATTTTGAGCACATGAACAAATTTGTGATATGGAAGAATGATGGTCTGACATTAGGTTGATATTGACTGTATAACATTGAAATTGGAGAGAAAATAGTTTTGCACTTTTATTTTAGGAACAAATTTGCCAGGTTTGATTTCTGCACAAAATTGTTAACAGTTAGATTATCATCTATATAGCAGTGAATTAGTGTTTGTTTGTATTGTTAGTTATTTTTCAGGCCAAAATGTAACAAAAAGAAAATCTTTGCAAAATATTAACTGTATACAGTAATTCTATACCTGTCAGAAAATCATATAAGCTTTTAATGTTATGTTTTGCTTAATATCACAGTCTTTTCTTAAAATAAAGATTGATCTTAAGGGGAATGTACTGTAATTTAAAAAAGTACTATTGAATGTACTGGACTTAAAGGAATTTGTTGATTTTGCAACTATAATCATCAACTGATGAATCTTATTGAAGATATAATTATATGTTGATGAATTTTGATCAATATAACTTTTGTTCCATATGATTATATGTACATTGTAACATACATATATACATTTTGTACTGTATTTGTTTGTGACTTCCGTAAGCATGTAATATTTGGCCTATATGCATGGCAGTAGACTGGTGTTTATCATAAAGATCAAGTCTTTCACTGGTGATTGACAAAATTGGATTATTAAGAATCCATGTAACCCATATTCTTGCGAGACAACCCCACTGCATGGGCTTTTAGCATGTGTAATACGGTAGGGATGTTTGTGTGTATTTCAACATAAGGGTAGTCATAGATAACGGATCACAATAAAACATCGAATTAGAACTAAATCGTAATTTAAGAATTCAGCTAGTAAATAAATTGTTTTGTGTTGTGTTATTATATATATAATTTGGGAATGTAATTTGTACTTGTTAAAAATCATTTGTGTATTTTGGATTTTTTTTTTGACAAATTGTTGTAATTGTTAGGGAAAGGAAAAATTAAAAGATCTGAAGAACTATTGATAAAAAAATATTGACGACTAAAAAATGTGGCAGGATCCACTTTGCAAATTCTTGATCGAGGTAAATAATTTAAGAGGTGATAGAAAGTTCAGAATTAACATATTATGTCTCCTGAATATTCATGTATGGAAATTGTTATATTTTTATATAAAGTATTTAAAAATTTATCTTGTTTTATTATTCTTATTTAAATTGAAATCTGTCATAATGGATTTCCTGTAGATTGTCAATTTCTAATCGAAAAAATACTATTAACTCATTCACTCCTGAAAACCCATTTGAACCCTTCCAATTCAAGGGTTGGAATAGTTCATTATGACATTTCAGGGGTGAATGAGGTAACAAACTTGAACCGATTATTAAAAGTTATTTTTACACAACCAATAAGAGTTTCTTTGTGACGTTTCGATGACTATTGCATTCGGAAATAAACAAACTTGAAACTTGAAAAACCTAGTACTGTATGTACACTTGTCACCTTCATCAGACAGATGACCAGTGTAGGGTAGGCACACAAAGGTGTAAAATGTGTAGAGTTGTCCATAAAATCTATGTCGACTCGGCTGCCATGCTACTTTTCATGAAAGGGACATCATTTTCATTTACATATAAATTGAAACTTCTTGCTCAAAGGATTTCGGACAATGCCCTAACATTTGAAGACCAAATACGTGCGCTGGTTAAAAAGCAGATTCAATATTCGCGCTCTTCGACCACCTTTTCAGTACTTGAATGAATGAACGTACTTTTCCGCTATTATATAAAACTATTGTTAGAGTACCTTCTTTCAGCTTCAGACACGCAAAAGGTGATATAATATACAAGTATTTGAGATAACGAGTCTTGACCTTCCGAAAGACATCGTACCAGGGGACATTCCGAAAACCTATGCCCAGGGGCGGATGCAGGAATTTATTTAGGGTGTTGCACAAACTTAAAAAATGACTTAATTTACCCACAATTTTTCGCGCTTAGGAATTGACATTAAGGCTTGAAAGAACTTGAACTTGGCCTAAAGGTTGTATGCTATTTTCTGTCATCATATTAAAGGGATTAATTTATAGCTTTGATATGATGACAGAAAATAGGATAGAGCCTTTATGCAAATTCATAAGCGAAACAAAAGTGTGGCTATTTTTTTTTATTAGTTTGGGTAACACCCTAAATAAATTCCTGTACCACCCCAGTGTACCCACAACATTCAAATATTGAAATAAGAAAGAATACCCCCACCACCACCCCTTCGAGTAGCAAAATTATGGAATAGTCTTCCAGAGTGTGTGATATCGGCACAATTAAATACATTTAAAATCTCGATAAACATAGGATTAATAAGGAACTGAAATAAAATTACAAACCTAACATACTTTTGTTAAACATGTCCATAACATTTACAAGATATGTGTACAAAATATACTATATAATGTTTCTACAGGCATCAATCCTACTTGGAGATTAAATAAGTCTTAGGAAGAAAATAAAAATATAATAATTTTCCAACCTTTTCAGTTGCACAATTTTAAGGGATATTTTTTTATTTTTGAAATCTGAACATAACATGGTTTTTGACAAAACGTGTCTCCAGAACTTCAGAGATTATCCAGGTTTATTTCTCAGAGCCTATGGCACAAATTGATAAAACAATCTGCATGGGATTTCCTTTAGGTGTCTTTATCATGTCTCGTAGATGAAAGTTAGTGTTGGAAATAAACATTCAAAACAATTAACCAAATATATTTGATTAACGAAAGAATCAAGTTGTTAATCAGGTTGTCTGAATAAAAACAAACAAATCAAAACCAAAAACGAAAATAAACCCCAACAATATTGTTTTTACCGGTGAGTATTTTATTAAAACGAATCAATAATATGGAACAACAACACGCTTACATCTCTAATGTTTCAAGGTAAAATATAAAACGAACAGAAAGTGGATTATTATTCTGGTTCTGAAATACATTGTCATCTGCATAATTCACGATTTTGAGAATGTATTTTCAAGTTATCCATCCGATGGCGTATAGACAATATACTTAAATATCTATATTAAAAACGTAATATATCAGTATCATGTATTATATTCGAAATCAAATCAGTGTGTTTTTATTGAATTTGAATAATAATGCACGTTTAAAATAAAATAGAAACGAATTGGAATCATGATGAATATATATATATAGTCCGACACAAATGACCTGTGTTGTCAACCTTTCCGTTGAACACTGGCCGGTTACCTCCCTTGTGTAGGTATGCCCACCTGTTAGTTACAATGTCCAGGTGTGTCGAGTACAACATACCGGTTGTCAGTAATTTTGTCAGCTTAACATTACATTAAATGCGATAATATATCGTCGATATTTGTCATAGTTAATAATATATGTAAGTGATTTTTGAATTAAAAATGATTTTTTTCACAATAATGCCTAAATAATATTGTACTTGTGACAGGTTAATTTAGTTAAGCTTACTGTATCTGGTCCCTGGGTTTCATGTTTAATGCCATGACTGTACTGAAGCAGGGTACCAATATCGATAATTATAATATGCTAAGCGATGACAACCATTTATTCATTATAACTGTTTCGATCATGTCACAATCCTCAATGTTTTCCTTTTTTGAAATATCGGATAACTGTAACGTAATATAGATCTACCTTTTTTCCCTATTCGATCATCGACTCACCTGTAATCAGGATGGTAATCGAAGGTTAGTGTGACAGGCGATTGTAGTAGGATTATACCTATATCGTGATTTCAATGGTCATCAAATAATCTTGGAGAAAAAATAATAATAAAAAATACATATTTGGAACAAAATCAGAATGAAACAGCCGAGTATGTTATGTTATATAACCAAATGAACATGTATTTTGTGTGATCCTAACATGTCAAGTCGATTTTCATTAATCATTCAGATAATTTTCTGTGGAAAGGTATTTCATAAAAGAACACATTTCGCTGATCTGTCATGTATCATTCTCATTTATTACTATTGGAGAAATAACCAACGATTGTGGTGTGTTATAATAGAATACAGACTACAATGAGGAGGAACAATTTGGTAAAATTATTAACGAAGTCTTAATGATTGTTTTACCATCATTTTCGAATCCAAATCATTTGTTCTAATATAAAGATTATATAATACACGCACAGAAATGTCATATTTTTCATTCTAAAAACCAACTTAAAGTATTAGCTTCAGGACCCCCTATCCCGTTGCATTGTAGTTTTACGTATATATGGTAGCCTTACCTTAATATCGCGCTGGATATAACAATCTGAAGACCAGGGTCCGAATCCCGGTGTAGTCTTACTAATATTTTACACTAAGGACACTGGTGTTGATTTTTTATTTTGTTAATTTCACCTGTTTATTTTTTTCATACAAGTACCGCAGGGTATATGCTGATCTTTACAGAGGTGATTATCAAAGCTAGACAAACCAGTTACCAATACGTATACGTAGTTCCAGGTTTTGGCAGTGGTACAGGGATCCTTAAACCAAATAATTTCATCGTCATGTTGGCTTCTAAATTAGACCATCTGATCGAGTACGATAACTGCGTTATCATGGGAGATGTTTTGTCCGGCCTTTTACAAGATAGCTATTTTATGCCAGAACCATTGTCGACCTGACTAGAAAACATGTATAGGTATGGTATATTAAAACAATGAATTAACGTCCTCTCCCTGGTATCTCCAGACAATACACAGTTCAAAGGAGTGTGACGTATGTCAATTTCAATATCATTGTCGTGGCAAGAAACGAAATCGACATCAGGTTCTTTGAAATTAACACCTACATTTAAATATCATGTAAACAAACTAGAATTGTATACGCACTTGCAGCGTATTAATTTCTAGAAAGAAGTAAACAGTTCTGTATAAATAGTAAATTTGATTGCAAAGTATTATTATAACATGACACGAGTAAACATAATTAATTCAAGAATATCAAACAGTTTTCAGAAAATAATTGAGACTGCATTGCTCGGAAATCCGAAATGAACTTATAAGGGAAGTAACTCGGAAATAAAAAAACAAGAAAAGTTCAGAAGTTAAATCTCTTGGGTTTTTTTGATAGTATTCACATACATCACAACTACAATATTTTTACATAAGTATATCTGGCATCCTTGCCACATCATATGTGACTAATTGTGAATAATAAAATCACATGTTCCAAACATTTTTTCAAAATAATGTTCAATATTATTGCAATTATTAAAAAACCCTGATAACATTTGTTTAATATACCATATATAGCCAGGATGCTCTTAACTCAGCTTACATAGAAACGTTTTACATATTGCAAGTATACAGCCTGTCTAGGTATCTGTTATGAATTGCAAAGACAGTTGGTCTATTTCTCAGTTATGGAGAGAAATACAGGGACAACGCTCTATTTCTTAAAAGAGTGATGCACTGCATGAGACAAAGGGTATCATTTTCCACAATGCGCGTATCTATAGTGTGTGCTCGGGTTTATTCAAGGTTTGTTTTGGGAATGGACTGTGCTGCCAACGGCAGCTTTAAACTAAAATATGAGAGTGCAAAAAAAAAAAATTTTGAGAAAGAAAAAAAAAATTGATATCGTTTATACGGAAAAAGGGAAAAAAATGATTGTTCGGATATTTGGATAACACATACTGAACAGCATTATAACTCAAGCCAGTGTGTCTGGTAGTCCAAAATAACTGATCATCTCATTGCAATTATTTTGTAGACCTTCTCCGCCCTGTCCATATTTTTTAAAGGAAAAAGTCAGCTATCTCGAACTAGTTTCTCAAATATGACACCAAGTTGTAAATGATCCCTCTTTAGCATTTAACTCCATGAAAGCCTAGAAGGTGAAGGAGAAAGGCCACGTACGATTTAACTGGAAGACAAACAGCAAGACGGTATTACGCGTTTGACACTAGCAAGAGGTGTAGGACGGAGATGAATGAAATGATTCACAAAGGTTACGTAAAACATGAGTATCAAAATCAAATGTAATTTATTTGTAAGTTAAGCAAAATGAAATAAAATCTTAGTTAACAAATATATCAGACAGTTAACGAACAGATAATTACTTACATAAAACAAAGAGATTCTGAGAAACTTCCAAGCGCTTTCACTTCGTCATATGTTCGTCAGAATCTCTTTATTGAAGAAACAATGAAATTGAAAATGAAACATTCACGTATAAAGTAAAACAAAATCTCTGAAAAGGTAAAATGGGTTGTGTGATGAAAACGGTGTAGGTAAGATATTAAAATAAACGATGACTTATCATTTCAATTGTTTCAATTATTTGCAAATATATTAGTATAGGAAATAGATTAAAACGGACACTTGATTTCAATACGAAAGTGAGAAATAGTAAAAAATATATTTTTAACATATATAAAAGATCATTCTTTCAGGACGTACATAACAATTACCATACTTTTCTTCACAATGTTCTTATCTGGAAACTTTACTGACACATATATACGGTTCAGTTTATGGTATGTCAGCCTGTCACGATGTGAGTCAAAGCAGGTAATCCCGGGACTCTGAGATGTGACCTCCGAAGAAGAATTACAATTTGTTTGGTATTTTTCTGACTGAAAGACTTTGAGATGCTTTTCCGTTTTCTGTACTAAAAGACTTTGATATTTACGAAAGAAATATATCGATTCTATTTTTCCGCGTGCTGATTAGAATGTTGATAGTGAATTGTACTGTTACCAAAATTCTGAAAAATACAAAAATAAAAATACAAAAAATCATAGAATTTTTCCTCTTTCACAAAATCGCCACTACGCGGGGGTTGAACCCCCAGACTTGAACCCCCAGACCTCTGATTTATAAAGCATGGAGTTTAAAGCTTAAAGGTCATGAAATCACTTTTGTTAAAACGTTTGAGCAACATCACTAGTAATGTTTATAAAAATATTCTAGTTCTCTGTTCATTTTACAGAAAAAGAACTTGACAATGCCGGTGGAAGTTCTACCTGAACCTCTCGTGCTTGATGCCACTGTATACGGTAATGTGACAGGGCGCATATAGCTCATCATTCAGCGTTCCTCTTTCTCTCCAAACAAGCTATATTTTGTAGGGTTTTCTCGTACGATTTCCAAATTTTCCTGTCCAATGCACTCGAGTGCTTTTTGAATATCTCCAGCGCAGGGAAACATATCTTCCTTTGTCGGACTTAGGCAACTACGAATAAACTCTGCAGTTCCACATGATAACCGCTGCAAGTCATCTGCAGGATCAACCATTGTTAGAGGATCAACATTTTTGATGAAGTTCAGGAGCAGTGTTTCGCGATGAGACCGGAATGCCGTCACACCGAGCAGAAGTTCAAACACCAGAAGCCCGAGTCCGTACATGTCGGAAGCGTTGGAGTAGGTGCTTCCTCTTAGGACGTTTGGGGACAAATAAGCAAAATTGCCGACCAACTCCGTTTCTGAGGGTTGCACGAATTCTCTCGGCAAGCATCCTCCTACAAGTTTCACTTCCCCATCTCTGCTGACCTGTAAATAATAGAATAGCATTGATATAATATTGAATCTTCGTATAGCATAACGAAAACATGCATGAACCGAAATAGATAATATTATTTTCCACGACAAACGTAGATATTGGATCAGAAGAAGCGAGGTCTCATAGGTGATAACATAGTCTTTAATATAATATAAGCGTTTCTAAATATTACATTTAATTTTTAGTTATAATCACAATAAGCGCGGGTGTTTAGTTATGTAAACACCATTTCAATGCTCGTAGTAGCCGTATATCTTGTGTATAGCCGACCACATAAAGATTTTTTTTTTAAATGGTAATCGCATGTGCTTCATTATGTATCTACATTTATAACATTATATTTGCATGTAAATTATTTTCTCTGAATGTCATTTTCGATAGGTTTTCTGTTGTTTTAAAATACTGCTGGATAATTGAGTTAACAAATCGAACGTAAACACATTATGATATTATAAAGCTGATACGACGTGATAAATATCTCACAGTGACAGTGTCGAGACACAGTTCCATGTGCACCAGCTTATGTTTGTGGAGGTAACAGAGCCCATCAATTATCTGCTTGATGACGGTCAGCTTGTTACACTTAGTGCTACTTGGCCAGCAGGGTAGGCGCTCCGCCAAGGTGTACAGGTGGTCTTGAAAGATGAAGACTGGAGGTGGTGCATCCGAGTAGTGTATACCTTCCAAAACGGCCATAGTTTTTTCATTGAGGAATCTATAAGAAAAAAATCGTCACACGGTGTTCATTAAATGTACAGCAACATCGAGCAGAGATACACATGTTTTGAAAAAAGTGACAAATCGACATGCTATCCATTGCAAGAAATAGATGCTCTTACTATGTATGGTTTAGGCGTGTTTTGGCCCTCAAATGCATCAAAATTCAAAACCTTTATATGCTCTTTGTTTGAACATCTTTAATGTTGGATACTTCCCAAATACTATCATGAATATATTGATTTGTGGTTTTTAATTATTGTTGCCATGGTAACAAGGTTCAAATTTTCATAAATAAGAAACATTGAATATTCAGTGAATATTGTCATATTTTGCATAGGTTTTTCTCCTGGAAAATATAGAGCGCATGCTTGAAAAAAAATAATATCAAAAGGAAAATGTGTAGACACCACCTGTATTACATGTTTAAGAGAAATATAAAGTCTGTTCAAGAGTGCGCTCTATGGTAGAGTTATGAGGGAAAAACTAGGCGAAAACCTGTCAAAATTGACCTAATATTCAAATTTCATTAATTTATGCAAATATATTTATTGGTTACCATGGCAGCCGTAATTGAAAACACAAATAATTGATTACGTAATAGTATCGGGGAAGTATTCAAAATTATAGAAACAGTCATTTGAAATTTACAGTCATTTGAAAGTTCTATTGAAGAATTTTAATTTCGATGGATTTGGTGGTCAAAAAAGGCCCAGACTATATATAGTCCTTTGCATTTTGTTGAAAGATTAAATAGTTACCTCAGCTTGGCTACTTCATTGTAGGTCGTGTCTATGCGAGAGGATGGCAGATACATCTTCATAGTTATATCGCATTTGTTGCACTGCCCCCGCTTGACCACTGTCCACAATCCATTACGCCATTCTGATGTTGGTTTGTCGGCAGACTTTTTGAAAAAAGACGTGTGGAGAATCTCAGATGCTCTGAAGGACCTGGAGCGCCTGCGCCCATTTTCCACAGGAGTGCAGATATCAACTTCGCGCATATTCTTGACAGAAATGTAGCCCTTGTAGTAATGATCAAGACGTCGTTTAGTTCCCTCTAGACTTTTATTCAGATTTTCATACAGACCTTTGCTCTCTACTATATTCTTTTGAAAGGACAGAGCGCGATCTAGCAACATCTCGTTAGATTTGATAAGTGATGGGATGTTCCTCTCTATCTCAGCAAGTTGAGACATGGATCTCTCCAGCAGGTTAGAGATGATTTGTTGGAGGATATCTTCACCAGGTTGTTGCGGCTCCATCAATTCCTGGATGAATTTTTCTGTCTGCTCTCTTGCTATTTTTGAAGGGTTTTCTTTGTATTTCTTTTCCTTTTTTGCAAGAATATATTTGTCAATAAGTTTCGTTGACCTAATATTGTCTACAACATTCTGTACTGGGTGAAGCACCCTTGTTATGAGTTTCAACGGTGTTGCACGATCGCTCGATTGTTGCTCCGAAATGGATACCCTTGACATCCTCCTTAGAGTCAGCGGGTTTGAAATTGATCTTCGCAACTTTTCTCTTGTACAAGATTCTTTCGCGTTCATGCCATCTTCTATTTTCTTCATTTCGGCCTGCAGCAAGTTTAACTGGAATTTCATGACATTTGCTGTTCTTTCTTCAACGACAGCGATCTTTCCTTTTTCAGATTCCCATTCCTCAATGAGTCTTATTACTCTTTCAGCTATCTTCCAGCGCAGATTCATCTTCAAATAAGGCCAGCCTCTATCGTCCAACTGAGGTAATTCCTCTGGTAGCCACTTTGTCAGAGATATTTTCGAGTAGGGTTTCATCAGCTCTGGTCGGAATTCTTCGCATAATTCATTTGACGTTTGCTCAACATCCTCCTTCAATGAGTTAATAACGTCATAGGACTTGCTTTCCAATGTATGAAGTTTCTTTTTGATATCTTCAACTTTTTCAATCCTTTCTTTTTCCGACATGTTGACCTGAGCAAGCAAAGCCTGAAGTTGGAAGATAGATCTGGTGAACACTTCGTCCATCCACCTGTAATGGATAGACGATATAAAAAGGTGTTCACTCTGATGTTTTGTAATACATTGTCCTTCGGTTTTGAGTGATTTCAACAAGGTCATGTAACAATGATATATAATTTCTTTGTCAAATTATCAAAGTAAAAAAATATGCAACTAAAAGTTTCTTTATACCGTGGAAGTTTTAATTAATATAAAGACGCTAGTAATTCGGAAAATGTGATTATATTCCTCGAGTGTATGGGTGTGTACGTTTTAAATACATTTTGCTTCTATTTTGTTTCACAACTAAGAGGTACATGTATCAAGGACAAAGACAAAGTTGGTTATGAAAACTCTTTCGTCGATGTGATGGATTTGTGTTATGCATTAATTACTTTTGTTATTACATAATATACGTATAATCAGGGCTGTGATCAGTCCAAGCGTTCATGCTCGAATTAACGTTAGAAAACTAGCTGGGAAAGAAATATTTATATTCTTATAAAAAGAAATATGTCCTAACATTATTTCGACATTCCTGGATTTTTTTTTATAAGCAGTCTATTTTTCTTGCTAAGACAATGTGAGCAGAGGATGACAGAATACCATCTATAATCAGAAGGACGATTCACAGTTAGGACAAAACAAGGGTAACTTTAACATGAAACTCTTTCAAATAAGTTTGGATAACAGCGACGTTGGGGGTTGAACAGTTAAGTGATATAGTCGAAGCTGTGTTGGAAGTGAAGAGTAAGAATGTTATCAGTCGGACAGTCCGCGAGCTCCTACTTACTTGTAGGTCTGTTGTATCCGATGATCCATGGCATGGATATACATGTCTCGGAGGCATTCCAGGAACACTCGGTACAACTCCGGGATAAAGTCTGGATCACACTCAGCCTCCTTAATAGCGTATTCCGTCTTGAAGCGGATCACCTGAGAGGTCGCCAGGGACGGCCAACATTCTCGTAGGAGTTTGACGGTGTTATTAAAGACTAGATCCTGTTCACCTGACTTTACCAAGTCCCATCGGTTACACACAAACATCGCGCTCTTGGAGTCGAAATGTTCCAGTCTTTCTTGTTGGTTCATCTTTTGCTTGTCGATGACCATCTTCAGCAAGCATAGGAACTATAGATACATAAATGAAATAGTCTCATTAAAATTTAGAACAATTTCTATAGCTAGATATCCATACAAGCAATATTTCTGTAAGAGCTAAATGGCCATATCAACAACATCGACTGGAGCTAGAAACCTTAGCTGACGGTACGGGCAAGCAAAAATCAAAGGGGCTGGATGTGTTTAAACAAACACATTAAACGATTTTTAGGTGGCACTGCTTTTTAATCATTGTTTTTTGTATGACTATGCAATACATTCAAAGTAAACTACCTTTGTTTTAAAAAGCATTCACACGTGCATTTTTTCTACTTTTATGGCAATGGGTAACTTAAAAAAAATAAAAAATAAAAATATCAGGACATTTTCCCGAGCGTTTTCAGTTCTTGATGTTTTTATGATTTTATCTATCACTTGTTCTCACCCTGTCCTCGTCTACTCCTCCTGAATTGTCTGATTTGATGACGTAGATGTATCCCATAATTTCGTTCTCTCGAATGAAGTCGGCAATAACACTGTCCATAGCCTCATTTTCGCCTATTCCGGGTGAGTCGACGATCACAATACCACACTGTTTTAAAAAAGAACACAATATTTACAGCAACAGATAAAATATAAGAAACTTTGTAATCTGAAAAAAAGATGTATCGTTCAAGATCATTCAGCAAAATTATTCACAGAGTAAAAAGGATATGAAGGATGCACAGTTGATTGCACCGTATACATCAATAGATACAGGATCCCGTGTGAAAGGAATTTCGCTGCCTCCTACTGTATAGCTTTTGTGTCCTTCTAGGACTTGGTGATGCTAGGGTCTGGTGGATGCCAATGTAGACAAATTCACAATATTTACGGCTGGACAGAACATGCATAACACTAGAGGACACAACAAAAAGCCCTACAAAAAGAGTTTTAGAACAAAACTAAGAGGTAACGCCTTTTCAAACCGTGTGACTGAAAACTCTGGAACAATTTAACACCTGAAGTTGTAAACGTTCCATCATTGAATTCTTTTATATCAAGACTGAACAGCGCATGGAAGGGACACCCAGGCAAATTTAGCCCCGCATGCTACAGTTGGGGAGGTACAGATCGGGAGTATGTACCAGTTATACCAGTAGATACGTCAATAGTAGTCGTAGACTAATGGTATGACATCGACAATGTTGAGTTTTGAGTTAGGGGCCAAAAAAGTTGGAAACCCAAACTGTTTAAACTACTGAGGGGCTAGTCTCGTTCAACCAGACGCTTTATCACTTAGGCGTAGCTTGATCAGACAACAATAGTGTGGTTGAACGAGACTACTGAGGGGCAAGTGCGTAAAACCCCGTAGTTTATGAAATATTCTATCCTATCATGGGTTGATTATATAATTGTGAATGGTTTTTTTTCTGTCTGATCAAAATAATTCAGATGATGCTTTTCTGGACAATCCGCGGAGTGTTTTATCAGTTTTGCTGATAATTGCACTATTATGTGCACTTCCAAAGTAGAAAGCGGACTTTCGATACATTGTTTAATTTTATCATCGAAAATGAATATTTGTCCAAAAAGTTGGTTTTAACTTGAATATGATACTGTACAGTAAGATAACTCATTGATTTTATTTTTGTATATGTTTGAAATCAGTTCATGTATTTATTTTGAATTTAAAACCGATTCCTCACCATCGATAAAGAAAGCATATTTGTTTTATTCTCAAAAAATTATTATATTATAATATATTTCTGAAAACAGCGTCAGCCTTCTTTTCTAGCAGTAAAAACTATTTTTTCGACTTCTTTCAAAGATTTTGCATATTTTCTGTAAAATTATCATGTGATACAAAAAATAAATAAATAAAATAATTGGAAAACGTTTTGTGTTGTTAAAAAAATATTAATGAAAATTTGACATTGTGGGCAACCATTCAGAGTTATCCCGCTTTGACCGCAAATATAGGGTTCCCTTAAGCTTATAGCTTTGATATTCGACGTTTCCTGAAAATCATTCATATTTTGTATACCCTAAATCTTTAAAATTCGATGTTCCACGAAAGTATTTGATATTCAATATACCCTAAAAATCTTTTATTTTCGACGTACCTTGAAAATATTCGATATTTGACGCACCTTGAAAATATTTGATATTCGACACACTCTAAGACTCTTTGATAATAACATACCCTAAGAACCTCGCATGGCACTTGGAACCTTATCTCCTTGATATGTGACTGTGTCTGTCGTTTGTTTTCGTCCTTGATTCGTAACCGGTCCCAAAGGAACTCGTGTGCCCACTCCATATTGATGTTGTCGAATTTCTCTGTGGGGGTGCCACTCTCCTGATATACGATTTCCGCGTTCATTTTCTTTCCGTAGGATATGCGAGTTATCACTGAAGTGGAACTTCCGGTGAAGGATGGTAAGATTGGCTGTCCAAGTAGTAGATTAAGTAAACTCGACTTTCCAGCCGAAGTTTCGCCTGAAATATACAAACAAGCTTGTTGATTATTTGAACCATATAAGTATTAGTCATATCGTTCCGCGTAATACTAACCTATTCTGTAAGATTATGTAACCATTCTCCTCAGAAGAGCAATTTTGTTTCAAACTTTAGATGGATTTTCACCAGATTCGGTGTATGTTTGTATGGCCAGCCCAACTTTAATCATGACTGTAATGTTTGCTTTCTCAATGAAATTCGTTTATCATTTCTGCAATTTAGTTATTTTCAGGATTTTTTAAAATTTTGATTTTCACCAAATTTGACTTAAGGTTGTACAGTGCCCGGTTGTTATCATATAATACTGTTTTCACAACTTTTGTTTAGCGCCTTTTTAAACTTTAAGGAAATTACACTAAAGCTTTTGACAAGAATAACAGACACGCATATTTATCACAACCAGGATAGGATCTGTCTTACTCAAACACACGTTACTATGTCACCTTCTTTTGTACCTCCTTGTTTGTGAGTGTGCGCCTTTGTGGTTGTATGTGCTGGATGTTGTAAAAGTACTCTACATGTTAAATGTTCGTATTTCAAATATTTTATTTAAAGAGACGTACTACTTGATCAAGGTCATACAGATCGCATCTTGTCGTCTGGGAAATCCTATCCGCGATCTTTCGATCAATGGGTCCTCGCGCTAACAACTGTGCTCTGCAGCATCTTATTTGAAACATATATGGAACCTGTACGTATTAAACTACATTTAAGGCCCCTTCTACAATTATGATTTAGCGTTAACTTTCTTTTTCTTCTTAACAGAGTAATAGTCGATATAACTATATTTACAAGCTTGAATTCTGGCCCGCTGTAGGCAAAGACATTCCTCTGTGGTTTTGTTTGTTTGTTGAAACAGTAACCCCCTTACTTAATTTAGTCTAAGGTGTAACTGAAGCATCTTTGTGCCAGGGTACTTCTATTGGACATTGGTTAGAGCGATGTAGACACAATCTGAGGTCCAATGTTCGAATTCTTGTCTGGATCTGCTGACATTTTTACACTCAGAACATTGTTGATAATTATATCTGTATATTTCATCTTCATTGTTTTTTTTATAATAGAAGTTTCACAAGGTTTAGTTATTAATTTCAGAAACGATTTCTGATAGGTATAGCCATGCCAAACAATGGGGGTTTCCAGTGTTTAGTTATAGTTTTTGACAGTGGTACGGGGATCCTTAAATAAATACAAGAGGCATATGGGCCTTAACGGTCACCCGAGTTCTGATATAATTATACAGAGAGTTGATTTTTGTTTTTAAAGCATAAACAGAAATATTATTCAAAGTGACAAAAAGACAATAAAACCGTCGGAGCTTTCCGTGTAGGAAGATAATCGAACTATAGGGGAAAGAATACATGGTTTCACCAAAACATAAATATCAACCTAGCTATAATTATAATATCGGGTTTAGAAATCAACAACAATGCTAGTTAAACAAATCGGCAAATACACCTCTGTTGTGTAAATATGAATTGTACCCGGGGTGCATTCAGTGTGGCACTCCAATTGTTGTCGGTAATTCATGGTAACTAAAGCTATGTGCTAAAAAGGAAATACTATCCGTCCACCATTATGCAGTAGATTGGAGCCGGCAGTGTGTTTCACACCAACAATTAAAAAACCCATTATGCTTTGTGGATCAAACGGTTTTTTAAAACGATGGTTATTACGAGGAAATCCCACCTAGCTTGTTTCTCATGCTTACAGTGTACAAAAATCATGACAAACGCGTTCAAATTTCGAAGTACAAACAGCATTTAAAAATAAGTCTTTGTCCCTTCAGCGGAATACATGAGTGTTGGGAAACATGTGAAAAGTGTTATTATGTTATTTACGTAATTACAAGTGGATTAATACCTTTAATTGAAATACTCTAATAGTGGAATTAATAGTCATTGTCAAATATGTTAAGTTGTGTCGATAACAAACGAGAAACCTTATTGATTGCGATAAACTGTAGTCCAATTGGTAGCCTGGTTTTTAACACGTAATGTAATGTTATGACATATAGGCACCGTTTTCCCGTCACTGCGTTTCTGCTTAGACAAATATTTTTATTGATTTTACCTTGAACCATTGTATGTAATTAAAAATAAAAGTTGTTTGGCATTCTGCATCACTTAATTTATATCTAAATGACGTCATATTCGATATGGATTATCTTCCTTGTTCCACTTTGTGACCCCAAACAGCAACCAAAACAAAACTTCGTGTTACTACAACCTATTTGGCGTTACTTTAAGGGGGTTGTATAAAGGAGATATGATAAAACGAAAAAGGACATTGAATTATGTTTGAGATACGTGACATACCGATTTAAACGAAGAACATATTTTCTTAAGTCTTACTATAATATAAGGATCCCTGTCCCAATACTAGATGGAGTGTTTGGTATATACAACAACCTCCCCTTAATTTGGCCTTAGCTATTACTGTAGCACGGTCGGGCCAGGACACTCTCGCTGACGAAGTAGCTCATTTAGTTAGAGTTACTGACAGTATATAACAAAACGAGATTCGGAATCCGAATTCTAGTCTTGGCTTGCTATTCTCTTTTTTTACTCAGGACACTGTTGAATATATTTTGTTTATTTCAACTTAATCATTTTTCACCAAAGTCCCACAAGGTATTGTTTACAGCTATATAAAGCTACATTTGTATAAACAGTTTCGAGTTCGTAGCCACATTTTTGCAGTGGTACGGGGATCCTTAAGAACCAAAGTACTTCAAAATCATGGTTTTGTATACTATTTCAGTCGATTGTTCAAGAACAACTAGTTTATTTGTAAAACCACTAAAGTGTGGAAAGCCGAATAGTTCATTTCAGGAAGATTGCTACATGGATTGGCAGAAGAATTCCTTATACAAAGAGATCGCTCTTTCTCGACACATCTATAGAATAATACGTTACTGATCCTCTACCCACGCGCAATTTACAACTAAAGAAGAAAAAGAAACCCCAGTAACTTAAGAACCTGAAGTAAACATGTGGTCTGTTTTCACGAAACACTTAAACAGTATCTTTATTGAATTGTAAGTTACATTTTTGGCTTTTGTTGTTAATTGCGCGTGGGTAGAGGATGACTCACTTATTATTCTACAGCTAAGACGGGAAAGAAGAGCAAAATATACAAATTACATAGCTTGCAACTAATATCATTCAAGAACTCATATAATCAATAGACAATTTGCTACTCTGACCCTGTCTAGAGTACCGGGCTGTGTACCACTGCAACAGCGAAACCTTCTTTTTAAGAAGGAGAGATGGTGTAGTAAAAGAATATGCGAATATCGCTAGGCTAGGCTAGGCAAAGGTGCCGTTGGGCCCCGGATACTACTAGGCTAGGCTAGGCTAGGCTAGGCAAAGGTGCCGTTGGTCTGGAGTCCGAGGCCTGGACAGGAGCCCCGGATACTACTAGGCTAGGCTAGGCTAGGCTAGGCAAAGGTGCCGTTGGTCTGGAGTCCGAGGCCTGGACAGGAGCCCCGGATATTACTAGGCTAGGCAAAGGTGCCGTTGGTTGGGAGTCCGAGGCCCGGACAGGAGCCCCGGATATTACTAGGCTAGGCAAAGGTGCCGTTGGTTTGGAGTCCAAGGCCCGGACAGGAGTCCCGGATATTACTAGGCTAGGTAATTAGATTCCGTAGGTCCGATGCCCGGAATGGGTACGAATCATCAAATCATCTTCCTTCGTTACTTGTGTTTCTATGTCAGTATGAAAACAACAACCGCGACAACAACACAATGGAACATAAACACAAGTTGTAAAACTTCAGCAAATAAAGAACTTGAATATAGATAGAAAGGTTTAAGATATGGACTACCTGTCGTTATTGTATTGTGTGTTACATGATAAAATAGCTTATAGATATGAAAAATATATCGATTTAGGACAATATGGCTATTGTCCTAAATCGATATATCCAAAATGACATATACCAACTAAGGAAGATTGATGTTCTCCTTAAGGGAAAAGTCTAGTCATAGTCATTGCATATATATTGAACATATTTTAATCTAACTTCCTGGTACGTATATTATGAAATACCATCGAATCTTTTGTTGACCTAAGGTAAACGTGCTAGACACCTACTAACGTACTATGACTGAGGTACTCCTTACTGGACGTACAGCCAACTACAAGTACAGGTACTCCTTACTGGACGTACAGCCAACTACAAGTACAGATACTCCTTACTTGACGTAGAGACAACTTCAAGTACAGGTACTCCTTACTTGACGTACAGCCAGCTACAAGTACAGGTACTCCTTACTGGACGTACAGCCAACTACAAGTACAGATACTCCTTACTTGACGTAGAGACAACTTCAAGTACAGGTACTCCTTACTTGACGTACAGCCAACTACAAGTACAGGTACTCCTTACTGGACGTACCGCCAACTACAGGTACATGTACTCCTTACTGGACGTACAGCCAACTACAAGTACAGGTTCTCCTTACTGGACGTACAGCCAACTACAAGTACAGATACTCCTTACTTGACGTAGAGACAACTTCAAGTACAGGTACTCCTTACTTGACGTCCAGCCAACTACAAGTACAGGTACTCCTTACTGGACGTACATCCAACTACAAGTACAGGTACTCCTTACTTGACGTGCAGACAACTACAAGTACAGGTACTCCTTACTTGACGCACCGCCAACTACAAGTACAGGTACTCCTTACTTGACGAACAGACAACTACAAGTACAGGTACTCCTTACTTGACGTACAGCCACCTACAAGTACAGGTACTCCTTACTGGACGTACAACCAACTACAAGTACAGGTACTCCTTACTTGACGTGCAGACAACTACAAGTACAGGTACTCCTTACTTGACGAACAGACAACTACAAGTACAGGTACTCCTTACTGGACGTACAGCCAACTACAGGTACATGTACTCCTTACTGGACGTACCGCCAACTACAAGTACAGGTACTCCTTACTTGACGTACAGCCAACTACAAGTACAGGTACTCCTACTGGACGTACAGCCAACTACAAGTACAGGTACCCCTTACTTGACGTACCGCCAACTACAATTACAGGTACTCCTTACTTGACGTACAGATAACTACAGGTACAGGTACTCCTTACTGGACGTACCGCCAACTACAGGTACATGTACTCCTTACTGGACGTACCGCCAACTCCAAGTACAGGTACTCCTTACTGGACGTACAGCAAACTACAAGTACAGGTACTCCTTACTTGACGCACCGCCAACTACAAGTACAGGTACTCCTTACTGGACGTACAGCCACCTACTAATGGTTTATACACTGTAGGACCATTACTTTGATATGCTATAGTAAGCATATTTTTAATTACACTTTATAATTTTGCGAAAATTCAAAGAGCCATTGTAAAATTTCTGTATTTATCGCGGGCGCGGATAAAAACACGAGAACACGACCATTTCATGCATACTTAGGTAATTAAAGTGTCATTTATGACAACAATGTGGCCTTTTAATCTCCAAAACACGACCAACACCAGTCTATACAAATGTGAAGTTTCGGTATATTTAATCGTATTACACTTTGTGATCTGCCAACACTACCTAGACTTGAAAGCTTCCAACACTAAGCCATGTCCTTTTTCTTACAGTAAAAAAGTCCAACCTTTTGATTTTACATAATAAAGTAATACACAACTTTTATGATTCGTTTCACCCGGAGATGAAATATAACTCATTTCATACAACGTGAATAATTTAAAATTTGTTTTTATCGAAGTGACACTTTTTAAAAATTCATATCCTACATTATTAGCTATATAACTTACAGATGCATTCTTCTAACATCTAACTCTACGAAACCTAATTTACGTACAACATATTCCATGGTTTTTTCCTGAGCTCCTTGTGAGGTTTTCATTGGACGAGAGGACTAACATAATCACATGCTATTTTGTCTTCCTTGTTGGTATACTATCTACATATGCATGTCATATATCTAACATACTGGCCCCCAAAGGAAGCTTTATATTAATTAAAATATGGCACGTTCATAATATTTGAAATAAAAAAGACGTTATTGCTGTGTAATATCGTTCCCGGATACTGGCTTGAGATTAGTCATGTAAACGTCGATATAATTCAGTGAAGCGTAGCAACGTGCTCGGTTTACGGCGGGAGTTTTTCACGTGTACTGCGCAGTGTGTAAAGGACTCGTTTTTCTCTATCGGGTCACCGTATAAAGTCAATATAAGGAAAACTAATTGTTAGTTTGGTGTCTAAACCAAATCAGACATGACATGGCTTGATGACGTTAGACGTGAAAGGGCCATTTGCATAATATAGGGTGGAGATAGGCACGCCGAGGTCGCCCGGCGGTTCGGTGTGGCTAGAATGACCATATCCTGGCTTTGGAGCAGGTTTACAGCCACAGATTCGACGGCCGATCGTCCAAAGTCGGGGAGGGCGCCCATTACGTCACGTAGACAGGATAGCATTGAGCACCTCTGCGATCATAGATCAGTTGGACATAAGAGTGGGGAAACGACGTCAGAAGCCTAAAATGTTGGACCAGTTGGGGAGGGATTTACAGGAAGGGAGGCGGATAATCCTGATGGGGTCTATGACCCGGAGCATTGCTTCCATGCGACGTCGTTTTGAGGATGTGGTCAACGTCAGGGGTATTCAAGCGAAATTAATTTGTGTTCAAGTAGAAAATATAAGAGAAATTTCGCGCTAATAAATCACTTTTAAAACATCTCGTTTGAGTAATGAATCAATGAACATGTTTTAAGAGAAGATTTCCGCTAAGAGACCGTTTTGGAACCTTCCCGAAGGGGATGGTCGCTGAGTAGATGTCTGATTATCTGTAACATGGACCATTTAGACGTGTATGCCCCCCCCCCCCCCCCCCCCCCCAAAATAATTGAATCACGTACGTAATTAAAAACGTTAGCATGTTCCGACCATACAAACCTGTACTTATTCATGGATTCACGTGTAGATACATGTGATAACTATTCAATGTTCATTATATAGAACGATGCCATATCATTCTAACTGATCACTAGCATACAAAGCGCAAAGGACAGTCGGTGGCCGAATACAACACGAAACAATGGCTGTCATTTGATAACTAACATTTAGATTCAAATCTGATCAGATTTCACTATACACGTCATTTTTACATAGACTGAATCTGCTGGTGATATCAACCAAACTAGGATACTACGTGCAAAGGAACAACGCGTGAGGGGTCCCTGTACCACTGCCAACACCTGTAACTATGCATAGGAAACACGCATGACTATAGCTTTGATAAATCATCTGTTTAGAAAACCATACTTGGCGGGATTTGTATTAAAAAATAACAAATACAATAAAAAAAATTGTCATCAACAATAGTGTTCTGGGTGTAAACATTCAGCGGGTCTAGAACAGGATTCGTACCCTGGAACCCGGATCGATAAACTATCGCTCTAAGCAACTGGGCTGCCTTGTCAATTGAAGTACCCTGTCCCAATTTCGCTACAGTTATAACTAAATAAAGGGGAAGTCATTCTATATATCAAAACAAATCACAGTGGAACTCTTTAGCGATTGCCTGCAGCGGGACAGGAACTTTTAAAATTGATTGTCAGAAACGAAAATGTTTCAATTTTGTGTAAAGCCTTCCTGTATGTGACTACCATTATATATTTAGTTTGATTTGCTTAAAAATCTTGGAATTCGGCTCTGTGAATGCTAATCATAAATTGCATCATTTTTCTTTTATTGTAAATTCTGGTTATTTAGTCAGCTACATACCTGCAACTACAAACACACAGTCTCCTTTCTTCATTCGTTCAATGTGCTGTCCCAGCTCTTGTTTCAAATCTCTCACAGTTCCTTCTGTTCGTAATAGGTCTTCTATGGCATCGATGCCGTTCCCATTCTGACATTCCGAAATGCACTTTTGAAACTCTTCGAGAAGTATGCCAATTTTCAATCTCTTGTGTGTGTCCTCCTTTTGCGAAACTTCCAGCGATTTAGCGATCTGGAATTAAAGACAAATACATGTACGTCAATGAAGATTTATTAACAAGTATTTGTTTTATTCAGCCATATGATACAGGATTAATATACGCAGTGTTTTCTTAACGTATAACACTTCTTATAACATAAGTATTGCTTCAGTTTTTGTAACGAAATAAAACCGACCAAAATACAGTTGTTTTAATATATTTAATAAAAAAAGGTTAATACATAATGGCTAAATTAGTTTTCAACAGGAAATTAACACTTATTTTTGCGAGTTTTCGAAAATGGTCTGTTTCCTTTGTCAAGCAAAGAGTGTATAAATGACCAATGTCTCAACTCTAAACCGCTAAAACAACTCACTAGTAGGAAAGCAAAGAGATGTTACGCCCAGTTACTAATACTGCAGGCGGTCAGGGAGACGGGTACATTGAAACATGTTTACCCATTCCGCCCCTTAGACAAAGCCATTGTTATTCATATCAAACTGATGAATCTTATTCTTAATGGTTATACATAGATTGCTATATTATGATTACAGGATATTGTTGAATGCGAAAACATTTTCACAATAAATTAATGGATTTGAAACCAGTAATGGATTTCGAAATCACCAAAATAGACAGATCAGATTGTAGCGCGTGTGTTGACAATAACTAGTAGCATTCTATTGTTATGTCATAATACTAACGTAATTTGAGTTTGATTTTATAACCAAATATCCCGATTATGTGTTTTTTTAGAATCTACTAGCGATCAATGTTGTCCATTTGAATTTTATTCTTATTTTTCGATGAATACATATTATATTCACATTCGTTCATACATATTCGACTTTTGCATTTGCCTTAAGGACCTTCGTAACACTGTCAAAAACTGTAACTTCACGTTGGAAACTGTTTTACTGGCTTTGCTATAGCCGCGAGAAATCATTTATAAAAATAAAACCATGACTTGCGATACTTCCATAACAAAATAAATCAACAACAATGATGTGCGCTTAAAAAAATTAGCGGAGCTAGACCAGGATTCGAACTCTTGACTTCATATTATTATATTATCTTTCTAATGTCCTGTCACACCTAGACGATTTGGATCGCCGGAGCTATACCGGAGCAAAAATTTGGCGATTTTCGGGGATCGGTACTAGTACGGCAGCGCAACGGTTTCACATCGATAATAACGGTAGGTCATCGTCAGGTCATCGTCAGAACATCGGCGAAAAATTTAGCAACGGCAGACGACGGTAGAGATTTTTCAACATGCTCAAAACATCAGCGATGTTACAAGTATAACAATGCGGCGCATCGGTAACACTAAGGTGACAAAAAAAGTACATCGGTAACACTAAGGTGACATAAAAAGTACATCGGTAACACTCAGGTGACATAAAAGTACATCGGTAACACTAAGGTGACATAAAAAGTACATCAGTAACACTCAGGTGACAGAAAAGTACATCGGTAACACTTAGGTGACAGAAAAATACATCGGTAACACTTAGGTGACAGAAAAGTACATTGGTAACACTAAGGTGACAGAAAGGTACATCGGTAACACTAAGGTGACAGAAAAGTACATCGGTAACACTAAGGTGACATAAAAGTACATCGGTAACACTAAGGTGACAGAAAACTACATCGGTAACACTCAGGTGACAGAAAAGTACATCGGTAACACTCAGGTGACAGAAAAGTACATCGGTAACACTAAGGTGACATAAAACTACATTGGTAACACTAAGGTGACAGAAAAGTACATCGGTAACACTAAGGTGACAGAAAAGTACATTGGTTGCACTTAGGTGACAGAAAAGTACATTGGTAACACTAAGGTGACAGAACAGTACATCAGTAACACTAAGGTGACAGAAAAGTACATTGGTAACACCAAGGTGACAGAAAAGTACATCGGTAACACTAAGGTCCCCCAAAAGTACATCGGTAACACTAAGGTGACAGAAAAGGACATTGGTTACACTTAGGTGACAGAAAAGTACATCGGTAACACTTAGGTGACAAAACAGTTTGTTTTGCTCCGACTTAGTCTCGGCGAGGTACATCGGTAGTGTGTAACAGACCCATACAACACTGAGCTACCATGTACCTTGTCCACGGAAAGTACATCGGTAACACTTAGGTGACAGAAAAGTACAGCGGTAACACTAAGGTGACAGAAAAGTACATCGGTAACACTAAGGTCCCCCAAAAGTACATCGGTAACACTAAGGTGACAGAAAAGGACATTGGTTACACTTAGGTGACAGAAAAGTACATCGGTAACACTAAGGTGACATAAAAGTACATCGGTAACACTAAGGGGACAGAAAAGAACATCGGTAACACTAAGGTGACAGAAAAGTACATCGGTAACACTTAGGTGACAGAAAAGTACAGCGGTAACACTAAGGTGACAGAAAAGTACATTGGTTACACTTAGGTGACAGAAAAGTACATTGGTATCACTAAGGTGACAGAAACGTATATCGGTAACACTAAGGAGACATAAAACTACATTGGTAACACTTAAGTGACAAAACAGTACATCGGTAACACTAAGGTGATAGAACAGTACATCGGTAACACTAAGGTGACAGAAAAGCACATCGGTAACACTAAGGTGACAGAAAAGTACATTGGTTACACTTAGGTGACAGAAAAGTACATCGGTAACACTAAGGCGACAGAAAAGTACATCGGTAACACTAAGGTGACAGAACAGTACATCGTTAACACTAAGGTGACAGAAAAGTACATTGGTAACACTAAGGTGACAGAAACGTACATCGGTAACACTAAGGTGACATAAAAAGTACATCGGTAACACTAAGGTGACAGAAAACTACATCGGTAACACTAAGGTGACAGAAAGGAACATTGGTAACACGAAGGAGACAGAAAAGTACATCGGTAACACTAAGGTGACAGAACAGTACATCGTTAACACTAAGGTGACAGAAAAGTACATTGGTAACACTTAGGTGACAGAAAAGTACATCGGTAACACTAAGGTGACAGAACAGTACATCGTTAACACTAAGGTGACAGAAAAGTACATTGGTAACATTTAGGTGACAGAAAAGTACATTGGTAACACTAAGGGGACAGAAAGGTATATCGGTAACACTAAGGTGACATAAAACTACATTGGTAACACTAAGGTGACAAAAAAAGTACATCGGTAACACTAAGGTGACAAAAAAAGTACATCGGTAACACTAAGGTGACAAAAAAAGTACATCGGTAACACTAAGGTGACAAAAAAAGTACATCGGTAACACTAAGGTGACAAAAAAGTACATCGGTAACACTAAGGTGACAAAAAAAGTACATCGGTAACACTAAGGTGACAAAAAAGTACATCGGTAACACTAAGGTGACAAAAAAGTACATCGGTAACACTAAGGTGACAGAAACGTACATCGGTAACACTAAGGTGACATAAAAAGTACATCGGTAACACTAAGGTGACAGAAAATTACATCGGTAACACTTAGGTGACATAAAAGTACATCGGTAACACTAAGGGGACAGAAAACTACATCGGTAACACTCAGGTGACAGAAAAGTACATCGGTAACACTCAGGTGACAGAAAAGTAAATCGGTAACACTAAGGTGACATAAAACTACATTGGTAACACTAAGGTGACAGAAAAGTACATCGGTAACACTTAGGTGACAGAACAGTACATTGGTAACACTAAGGTGACAGAACAGTACATCAGTAACACTAAGGTGACAGAAAAGTACATTGGTAACATTTAGGTGACAGAAAAGTACATTGGTAACACTAAGGTGACAGAAAAGTACATTGGTTACACTTAGGTGACAGAAAAGTACATTGGTAACACTAAGGTGACAGAAACGTATATCGGTAACACTAAGGTGACATAAAACTACATTGGTAACACTTAAGTGACAAAACAGTACATCGGTAACACTAAGGTGACAAAACAGTACATCGGTAACACTGCTTTCTCGCCGGAGCTCTGCCAATATTCTCGCCTTTTGTTTTGCTCCGACTTAGTCTCGGCGAGGTACATCGGTAGTGTGTGACAGACCCATACAACACTGAGCTACCATGTACCTTGTCCACGGAAGTGTCCATGTCTATTGTGCTTCAGTTTCAAAACGAAATTAGGGGGAGGTAAATATAAATATAGAAAAAAACAGTGCAGTGGGATACGGATTCTTATGTTGAATCTTCCAACCGTCATCTATATTTTATAGCCGCTAATTGCTGTTCGGAAAAGTATAATACTACTGATCGTTTTACCCACTAAAGTGGACCGTCATAAGAAATCAACCTCAAAGGATAAGTTACATTATAGCCTTTGATTACTTAGTATTAGCTTATCCAACTAAAATTTTAACTTACAGAGTACAAGGACTTGAATTAAAGTTAAGTACAAATAATAATAATACTTCAGGATCAAACTGTCCAACTTGGCTTGGGTAAGTGTGTTACCCTCCTTTAGCAGGACATAACTAACAGGTGTACATATATACAAGTGTATGGTCTCGGAAGTTAGACATTAGGTAACTAGTCTGTCGTGTGATATAATCGCCGCGTTGCTTGGCGTGTTAACAAATGTTACTTGATAGATATTGTCAAATAATGTAAAGGGTTGATGCTTCGGAGACGAGACCTCCATTGTCAGGTTTCACCGATGAACTTCCTGGTCTAGCATCGTCGGTACATATCACGCGAGAATCATCCCTCTCTGTACGAAAAACAGTCACCTTATAGTGGAACGATATGCAAACAATAGAAGCATCGAGTCAGTTGGTGTGACTTTGCAGATTGCTTTGAGTAACAGATATTCACGTACAACATGTGTTAAGATATTTTTTTTTCTCGACGACATTGACAAGGTATATATGATAGCCAAATGTCGTTTTCGTTTTAAGAAAAAAATGATAAACAGCGAGACAACTATTTCTGATTTTTTTTCCATTTCACTATATTCTAACAAATGTAAGTCTATATATTAGCAATGTATCATATTTTTCTAAAT